TGGCTTGGCTGCTTGATGAGGGGTATAGGGAGGTGGTGGAAATTGCATGGCAGAATGGAAGGAGTGGTGGATTGCTGAGTTGTTAGCAGTACTGTGGGGAGAGGTTAGTGCAATGGGGAGGTGATCATTTTCATAAATTCGGGGACCGCATCAAGCAGCCCCATCAGGATTAGCTCTTGCTTAGGTCGCGTAGGGCTGCCAGCGGCTTGAGGCACAGTTGTGCCAGTTGGAGGCCCATGAAGATTATTTTGGAGACAGCGAGCGAAACAACATTGGTTGAAGGGGGCGGACGCCAACACCAAATTCTATCACAGGTATGCTTCTGCTCGTAGAAAGAAAAATATGATTTCTAGATTAAAAAATGATGCTGGAGTATGGGTGGAGGGGGATGTCATGAGGTCTGTTGTGTTAGATTATTTTAATGATATTTTCTGTACAAGACATCCTACTTGTGAGGATCCTTTGTTTGCTACTGCATCCTCTCGTGTCTCCCCTAGCCAGAATGTTATTCTTCTCAAACCTTTTGTGCTTGAGGAGGTTAAATCTGTTGTGTTCTCTATGTTCCCTGATAAGGCCCCAGGTCCAAATAGCTTAAATCCGGGCCTCTATCAGCACTTCTGGGATGTGGTTGGGGAGGATGTATATGGTTTTGTGCTACAATGTTTGAATTCCTATTCCTTTCCCGAGGGTCTTAACGATACTAACATTGTTCTTATTCCTAAGAAGCCGGTTCCTAATTTTGTTGCTGATTTAAGGACAATAGCTTTGTGTATTGTGGTCTACAAAATCATGGCTAAAATGATAGCTAACTAAATGAAACCACTCCTGGGCAGTCTTGTTTCTAAGTCCCAGAGTGCTTTTATTCCTGGGAGGCTTATTACGGATAATATTCTTGTGGCAGCAGAGATTGGACATTACCTTAATAGGAAATAGTGTGGTGTCGTAGTATGGTGGGCTTTAAAGTTGGATATGGCAAAGACCTATGATCGTATGGAGTGGCCGTTCCTGAAAAGGATGCCGTGGGTTTTGGGGTTTGATGACAGGTGGATGGATTTAATTATGCTATGTGTGACCACCGTTACCTACTCTGTTAATATTAATGGGGTCTGTGGTGGACGGGTTACCCCTTCTCGGGGCATCAGGCAGGGTGATCCTCTCTTTCCCTATCTGTTTATTATTTGTGCTGAAGGTCTGTCTATGCTGTTATAGAATGCTAAGAATTGTGGTTTGATTCATGGTTGTAGAGTGGCCAGTGGAGCCCTGCCTATTTCTCATCTTTTCTTTGCAGATGACAGTCTCTTGTTCTTTAGAGCTAATGCCCAGGAAGCCAGAGCTGTGAGGCAATGCTTGAATACTTATGAGAATTTATCAGGTCAGGCTGTTAATTTTCACAAGTCTAGTATTTGCTTTAGTAAGAATACGTCTGTGGAAGACAGTGAAGAGGTAGCAGCATTGTTAGGTGTGATTCAGGCTCCTAACTTTGGGAAGTATCTGGGCCTACCATCATTTGTGGGCAGGAATAAAAAAGCTGCTTTTGCATACATTGAGGATAAAATAAAACAGAGGATCGGATCTTGGAATAAGAAATTGCTTTCGCAAGCTAGTAAGGAAATTTTCTTGAAAAGTGTGGCTCAGTCTATGCCTACCTTTTCTATGATTGTTTTTTTGCTCCCTATTCCTGTATGCTTATCTATTGAAAGGACTATGAACAGGTACTGGTGGGGTGCTGGTAATGGTAGGGGAATCCATTGGAAGGCTTGGGACCGGCTTTGTATACCTAAGAAGTTTGGGGGTATGGGATTTAAAGAACTTCGTGCTTTTAACTTGGCTATGCTAAGGAAACAAGCCTGACGTTTTTTAACTGACCCTGATTCACTAGTTGCTAGGGTGTATAAGGCTCGCTTTTATCCTAAGCCTACTTTCTATGACGCATCTCTGGGTAGTTGCCCAAGTTTTTGCTGGCGCAGTATTATGGCAGCTCATGGTCTGGTTTGTGGTGGTATAAGGAGAAGGATAGGCAAGGGTAAGACTACAGTAATCTGGGAACATCCTTGGTTACCTGATGAGCCAAGTCCCATGATTCAAACTATTATGCCGGATGAATTAAGGGGAACACTGGTCTCAGGATTAATTGATCAAGAAACTGGTAATTGGGTTCCCCATATTTTATCTTATTTGTTTGATCCTCAGGATGTGACTCATATTGCCATGATACCAGTCAGTCCAGATTATGATGACTCGTGGTTTTGGTTCTAGGATCCAAGGGGTTGCTACACAGTGAAAGGAGGATATAGACACATTATTGGTGTAACACCCCTAAATTTTAAAACTTTTAATGCTTATGAAATAAAGGCAATACTATCATTAAATCCCAAACAGAGCATAACTAAACATAATTGTTGTGGTGCTATGCCACATCTGAGCTAGAGAACTCAGATGCACAGGCTAAACTATCCAAACAGTAGAAATCCTCAAATCAATGTTAAGTACATCATCATGGCACGCAGGCCGATAAAAGAACTAAACTAGCTAAGCCACGGGTCCAACTAGCGCGCTCCGGAGCTACTCATTTGTGCCTGAAAGCCAAATATATCTGTTCAGCGAATAATGCTGGTAACCCACTCCAACGCGTAAAATACAATATAGGTAGATATATATATAAGGAAAACCATTTTGAAGCCAGAATGAATACATATATACTTATGAAACTCTAATTTAAAATCGAGAATAGACTCAATCAAGCAAGGGTAGGCACATTCAACAGAATTAATCACGCATATAAAGATACTAGCATGCACCCTAAGGTCACAAGACAATTTCTTATCAATCATATCAGTATTTAATCCCTATTTCCAACACGTAAACACATTTAGTGGTGCCGTAGGACCAATCGCATGCCCATACATGAGGGTCAGCGCATATAGCTCTGACACGGCCCCGAAGCACCCTGCTTGTACCGCAGCACAAGGAGATTGATCGCAACCAATCGATGAACCGCAACTCATTTATAACGTTTGATCACAACCAAACGGTGGACAACAGCCTGAATAATATGTATATCTGATCGCAACCAAATTATGGACCGCAGCCCCATATATATATATATATATATATATATATATATATATATATATATATATATATATATATATATATATATATAAAACAGCCGATGGTTCTCAACTCATCCAACTGCCTGTATAGCCAATTGATCGCAACCAATTGGGGTATCATGCACAAATAACACATAGTCAAGCACATGCAACCCACATTAAAACATAAGGAGGGGGAAATCATAGGGGATAACTTATGCGTGGTCAACCACATTACTCGAGACACGCCTAAGGGTTCATGCACCTTCCTCCTAGGCCAATGGGATACCAATTCGACTAGCATGCAATACACAAGACTCTTTTATCCTACGAATGGTACCCGATACATCGAACTAGACTCAGGCACGACAAACGGGGTCCAATGGGACGCCACGGGACACGGGGAAACATCAAATGGGAAAAACACCACAATCCACACTGGGATTCCAGCGGGTGGCCGGCGAGTGGAGGGCCACCCGCCGGCGGCAGATCACGAGGCAGCGGGTGCCCGGTGGGCAATCGCCTGCCCGCTGCCAGGCGGTCTTATGGGGCAGCGGGTAGGTGGCGGGTACCCTTGCCCCCGCCTACCCCCACTGACTCCTATGTAATAATTCGGTCGCGGGATCCCTCGTGAAACCCGACACCATGTCCAGACACATTTAAATACAAACGGTGACACCACGTAATCAAGTAATGGATTAAAACCAAGAATAACATTAAATACATCCTAACACGACTCCTAAACATGCCAAGACTCAATATCCGATCATGCAAAATCCCACCCAAACATACCAAGAATACCACAATACGAAATCCACGTTTTAACCCTAGGGCTCTAGTCATAATTAAACATAAGATCATTTATATAATTTATCTTAGAATCAAGAACATCAAGATTGTCACATAAGCATCAAGATCAACATATAAACATCATGATGATCTCATAAACATCAAGATTATCTCATAATTATCATATCAATCTCATGAAAAGCCTTATCAAGACGCAAACACAGAATCACATATCAAAGGAGCCAATGAAAGAGATTATAGCAAGGAAAATAGATTTTGTTGAGACATGGGTTACCTCTTAGCCTTAATTAAAATCATTGGCTACTAAGGTTCTTTCTCTAAGATCTCCTCTTCGTGATTTCTCCTACGTTTGGTGGAATCTATTGTGGTGTGATTTCTAGGTACCTCCTAGGTCCTTATATATACTTAAGAGTCCTAACTAGGGTCTGAATGGTAGGGATTTACTTATTCTACTCCTTATAGGACTAAGGGTTGGTTTAGGGATAAGGATTCATGATCCATGGTGGACCCTTCTCAATTAATTTAGGGGATTCAGTTCTCTTTTAATGGTAAGCAATTAAATAATTAGTTTGTGTTAGAGGCCGTAACACGGGGTGTTACAATTGGCAATTATGAGGATGTCCCGGGAACTTTGATAAATGGATTTCTATTTAGAAACTACATATTCCCCCTAAGTGGAAAACTTTTATCTGGAGAGCCCTCAATGATATTCTACCCACCACTATGAATTTGATTTAAAGATAGTAGACATTGATTCTACATGTCCCAAATGTGCTCTTACTCATGAAAATGTTATGCATGCTTTAGTATTGTGTGAATACTTTAATTTTGTTTGGCATGGGTCTTCCATCACCAACACAAATTTTTTTTTCGATTCTTTTCAAATTTGGATGAGAAATATTTTGTGCACTCTGTCTATGGAAAATGTTGAACTTGTTGTGGCTGTACCAGATATGGTGAGCTAGAAACCAGTGTGTGTGGGAGTTGTATTTGCCGACGCCGAATATGCTTTGGAGGGGAGCCCACACTGCGCTGTCGAACTAGAGGAGTGTGCATCAGCGTAGTCAGCAGGAGCCTAGCGTTGCTGTGCCGTCCCAGCCGTCGTACCGTCCCAAGTGTTACTTTGATGCAGGCTTCATGCATGCTACGGGTGCGGCTTCTTTTGAGGCTGTGTTATTGGCTCACGACAGACGTTTCTTGGCTGCATGTAATGGACGCCTTGCGGAGTGTTTTTCACCTTTGATGGTGGAGGCCCTAGCGTGTAAGGAAGTATTCTATTGGCTAAAGGATCGTAATGTGGTTGCGGTTGACTTATTCACGGATTGCTCGGAGCTTCGTAACAGTCTGTTATCAGTTCATGTGTCATTCCTGTCCTATGTAGGGGTTACCATTGATCGGTGTAGAGCGACCATGTACTCGTTAGATTACTGTTTTGTTAGTTTGATTTCTAGAGCTTTAAATTTACATGCTCATACTATTGCTGCAGCAGCCTTTACTTAGGCTAATTCGCTGTACTGGGACTCTGTCCCTCCTGACTCTATTGTTGCTTTCATTCATTAATATATTGTAACTTTAAAAAAAAAAAACAAGTTACTAGCATAACACATTGATAGTATTTTAAGTGAATATTAAATTTCTAAGTAGAGAGGATGCGTTGTGCCGAATAAATTCAGTCATGTTTACAAAGAAATAAGATATTCACTAAAAGAATAAAATGCATGCACAACAGAAAATACAGATAAATCATGAATAAAAATAATGTACCCTATCTATTAAAATAATGTACCTAATGACAATAAATAATGTACCATAATAAAAAACAGAACTTTGAAATTAGAATGCACACAGAAATAATACATTAAAATAATGTACCTAATGCACAAAAATAATGCACCTCAATGACAAACACAATATTCACATAAGAAAGTATACATAAGTCATGCATTAAAATAATGTACCCTGTGGATTAAAATAATGTACCTAATGCATGTAAATAATGTACCTCTATCAGAAATACAACTTGATACTATTCAATGGCATTACATTAATCCTAATCGATTTAGATGGTAATTCTAACTTTTATCACTCTTTTCTCCAAAAAAAAAAAAAAAAAAAAAAAAAAAGGAGATAAGTACTTGCATTGAGATAAATTTTTAGAAGCACAAACCAATTCCCTTTAAAGAAACCAAAAAACAAAAACTAACATACAAATATATTAAATAGATCTACTAGTTGTGTCATTCTAAATATTATTGAATGCCCATATTTGTGAAATCCAAGTTTGAGTGTTAGGAGTCAATGCACCAATATCTCATCTAACAGACTGTTGGTCCCAAAAGAGGTAAGGTGAAAGTCTAGAGGGGGGGGGGGGGTGGGTGAATAGACTTTCAAACTTTTTCGCACAGCACAACAATTGCTAAGCCAGAGATAAACCAAAACTCTTAACTAGATTGTTAGAGTATGGTGCACAGCGGAAATAAATAAACATAAAGTGTGTGTGAGATTGTGTGAGCAGTATATCTCGTGTAGAGCGAATATGTAAAGAGCGGTAAGTAAAGAAAGCAGTAAAGAACACAAGACAATTATAGTGGTTCGCGAGGTGGTGTAATCCTCCTACTCCACTTGCTCTTATCTCCAAGAGCAATTCACTATATCTACCACTCCTTGGTTCCAAGATACAATGAATTTCCGTGATCTAGTGCTTTGATCACAAAGCCCGCACTAATCACGCCCAGTGACACCACACTGCTGCTTCGGGTTTCACGTCGCCGCGCTACTATCCCAGGATTTCACGACTCCGCGTTACTTTCCCCCCGTCTTCCACACTCCGGTAGAAACGTATCCCATGATCTGGTGCTTTGATCACCAAACCCAAACCAATCACGCCCAGTGCCTCCGACACTGCTGCTTCGGATCTCACAGCTCCGTGTGACAATCCAGGATTTCACAGCTCCGTGCTACTTTCCTCCCTTCTCTTGTTTTGCTCCAAAACAAGTGTTGTCTTGCTTCCAACTTCTGAGACTCTGTAGATGATCTTCAATGATGCGCAGGTCTCTTTGATGAAGATAAACACTCTGGAATGATTTCTCTTGATAGCTCTGAGTGTTTTCTCTCTGTGAATATATCAAGTAAAGCACTTGATATTTTTGCTCTGCTTTGCTCTGTTTAAGAACTCTCAGAATATTTCTCTTTTGAAGCTCTCTGAGTTCTTTTTCTTTTCTCACTTCTCACTTGAAGATTTTTGGTATGCTCTGTACCAAATGAGATTTTTGCTCTATGCTCTTTTCAAGCTTAATTGCTCTATTCGATCTCTTGATGAGTTTCGAATTTTCTGCTCTCTTGTTCGTAAGTTCCCCATCTTCAAGTCTTCATATCTTCATCATTTTATAGCTGGTAATGAGAATCTGTCTGTTGGAAAGAGACGCTCTCATTTTTGAAATCTTGTATCTTTTTGTCAGAGATCTTATCTTATCCTCTGCAAAGATGTCAGAAAGGATAAGCTAGCCGTTGTTAGAGCTTCATCTCCATGTAAATGGGTTCTCAAACTTCATCTGATATTTCCTCTGGTTTTACGTTGAGTGTGAATATCTGGGTGTAGAACGGCTTCTCTGATTAGCTCTGAAGTGGTCTTTGTATCTTTGGGATTTAAAAATATTCATCAATTTAATCTCATACTAGTTAAACTAGTATTTTTTCTTGTGAGAATATTTTCACTGTAAGTTCATCTTCATCTTCTTCATTCTCACGTTTGGGTGTTCTCATACTTCAAACTGGCTTTGAACTTCCACCCAATTTGAATTTCTCCTTTGTAATTGGCTCCCAAACTGCTCCTGGTGCTTTCAATTGCTTCCCAATTTGAATTGTTGACTTTGACTTCGAAATTGGCTCCCAGACTTCTCCTGGTATTGAATTTCATCTCAATTCAATTTGATCTCCATGTCTTCTTTGAATCGGTCCCCAACTTGAAATTGCATCCCATACTACAACCTCAATTGGCTCCCAATTTCAATTCTACATTGGCTCTACTACAACCTCAATTGGCTTCCAATTTCAATTCTACATTGGCTCCTATCTTGAATTCTACATTGGCTCCCATCTTGAATTGATTCTCATGTGAAACTTGCTCCCAATTTCAATTGATTTCAATTTCTCTGAAACTAGCTCCCAATTTCAATTGCTTCGAACTAGCTCCCAATTTCAATTGCTATGAAATCGCCTCCCAATTTCAATTGATTTCAATTTCTCTTAAACTAGCTCCCAATTTCAATTGCTTTGATTCTCATGTGAAACTTGCTCCCAATTTCAATTGATTTCAATTTCTCTGAAACTAGCTCCCAATTTCAATTGCTTCGAACTAGCTCCCAATTTCAATTGATTTCAATTTCTCTGAAACTAGCTCCCAATTTCAATTGCTATGAAATCGCCTCCCAATTTTAATTGATTTCAATTTCTCCCAATTTCAATTGATTTCAATTTCTCTGAAACTAGCTCCCAATTTCAATTGCTATGAAATCGCCTCCCAATTTTAATTGATTTCAATTTCTCTTAAACTAGCTCCCAATTTCAATTGCTTCGAACTACCACCCAAGTGAAATTGCTTCCCAATTTCCACATTTCAATTGTTTCGAACTACCACCCAAGTGAAATTGCTTCCCAATTTCCACTTGTAATCGTCGAACTACCACCCAAGTGAAATTGCTTCCCAATTTCCACATTTCAATTGTTTCGAACTACCACCCAAGTGAAATTGCTTCCCAATTTCCACTTGTAATCGGCGCCCAAAGCTTAAACTAGCGCCCAACTCCAGATAAAATTTCCACTTGTAATCGGCGCCCAAAGCTTACACTAGCGCCCAACTCCATCAGATTAATTTAATTTGGCTTCTCAAGTTTTACCTTGTAAAATTATTAATGGTGAGTTTTGAACTTGAGCCATTTCGCATAATATACCAAACATCATCCACTTCGTCCATACAGCTTTTAATTAAATCTCCAATCATATTTGATGTACTCCTTTCTTTCCATAGATGTTTGATCTCCAAGTCAATTTCTTGCATTCTTCCAACATTAATTTTCTTCACAAAAATTCTTCTGGGATATCTTCTTTGAGTAGCATTGACGTGAATTATTGTATCATTCATCTTCTTCTTCAATTTGTCATTTTCTCCAGACAAATTCTTAATTTTCGGCTTTATATCTTCTTCTTCTATTTTCATCCATCTTCCTCTGTTTTTCTCTTTTCATAATTAAATAATTTCCCGATCATGGTCTAAGACTCTACTAGACCTATAAAATAAAATTGGGAGATCTACAAATACAAATTTGGCATATCAAAACCATTACACTTTATTCCTAACACAGACAATTACGGTTATTCATTGTTATTACAACAAATTGCACCCCTCTGATTTGGTTCTTTCAAATGTCCAACCAATTGGTTTGTTTTATTGCTAACATACTGATTCAAGATCACTAGAGTACAATTCAATCACTGTAAAAGGCACACACTGATAGATTTGCAGGGAGATTCCTATGCATAAAAACATGCCTAGTGAACCATTTTCACAGGAAGCATTAACATATGATAAATGTGAAGAATGATGAGCAAATACTTTATTGTAACACAAAAAACAATAAAAAAAAAAAAGAAGAATTATTCCATCAATATAATTAAAACACAACTAATAATAATTAAATAATAATCAACAACTTAAAAAAAAAAAAAAAAAATCTGGAATAGAAAAACTCTCATCCATAGCATTAGAAGAACTAGCATGAACTCTAATTGGTGAACTCTCATCAGCTGCACCCACAGATTGACAGAAGTGTCATCAACTGAAAATAATTTTCATTTAACATATAAATAATATACCTAATAAATACATTAAGCATGTTCAACAATGTAGTATAATATACACGAAAATAATGTACATGATGTGCAAAAATAATGTACCCTTAGGCCTTATCTAACCAACTAAACAAATCCTAGACACAATAGATCCAAGCATTGCGAAAAATAAACCTAGAGTTGATTCAACATCAATTGGAGAAATCGATTCAATATCAATCTAAGCATTGACTCCTACAATATAAAAAAAAAAATACAATATAAATCAAAATCCATATTAAAAAGGAAACTTAAATTGCATATAAATAAAATACAAACCTGTAATATCATCATATAACTCGATTGCATCAATTATGTCGTTTGAATCACTGATGTTATCCATGATGCACGATGCGAATTCAATGACGGAGAAGAAGCAATCAGAGGGAAGAGGAAAATTGCAGAGAAAGAAGCAAATAACGATGATGGTGAGATGGAAATCGCAGAGGAGAACGAAGAAGAAAATCGCAAGATGATGGCGAGATGGAAATCACTAGGAGTGTGCAAACTTCGGATAATTTTTGGTTAATCGACCGAACCGACAAAGTTCAGTTAACCGTTTTTTAACCGATTTTTTTTATTCGATTAATGGTTAAAGGATTTTTAAAACTTCGTTTAGCGGTTAATTCAGTTCGAAAGTGTCAATTAACCATTCGAAGTTTTAAATATATATAAAAAAATAAATATATAATGTTAAATGTAAGTATGTAGCTCTACTGCTCGTATCCCACCGAAATTAGAAATCAAAATTATCAACTCCCTAATGAATTTATTATTATATGTATTATTTTAATTAGATTTATTATTATAGGTGTTATTTTTAAGATTTTAAATTTTGACTTAAAAAGTTCGGTTAATCGGTTAACCGAAAAAAATTCCGGTTCGGTTAATTCGGTAACACAAACTCCGGTTTAGTTAACGGTTAAAGGTTTAAAAATTTCGGTTAAAACGGTGCGGTTAACCGAACGCACATCCCTAGAAATCGCAGAGGAGAGCAAAACAGGGAGCGAAGGATTGAAATCGCAGAGAAGGAAAGAATGACCGATGAAGGAGAGGAAACAAATGAGTAACGGCACTAACGAGATCAAAACCTAAAGCAGTGAATTTTTTACTTTAGGTATTAAACGGTGGCATTTTGGATCTTGGTCCATGCAATAATTTGCCGTGCAATCGTTATGCTATGGATCCGTGTCCAGCATTGTCGTTAGTGGCACCATTCTCTTTCACAATTTTTTTTTAAAAAAATTTCAGACTACTTTGTTATAGGAGTATATGTTCATAATTTTATCACTATATGTTCATAATTGTAAGTTCATAAATCATAATGTCAGAGCTCTGTGTTCATAATTGCATCACTGTACATTCATAATTGCATAACTGTACATTCATAATTTCGTAACTGTACATTCATAATTCAATGACTGTAAATTCATAATTTTCGAAACTCTATGTTCACAATTTTAGAGCTCTATGTTCATAATTTTATCACTATATGTTCATAATTGTAAGTTCATAATGTCAGAGCTCTGTGTTCATAATTTCATAACTTACATTCATAATTCCATAATTGTACATTCATAATTGCATAACTGTACATTCATAATTCCATAACTAGTTTTCAAAAAAAAAAATAATTCCATAACTGTACATTCATAATGCCACAAACGAATAACGCCGTTAACAGCGAGACAAAATCAATTTTTTTTTTTTAACTGAAAGACCACATTTTCCCTTAAAATGGCGTCGTTTTGAACTCGTGTCCACAATGTATTGTGGACACGAGTCCACCGCATAATTTGCCTTTGCCGTGAAGGAAGGCCTTGGGCCGTGTGTTTCTTTACCTTTGGGCCTGTTGATATGTAGCTTAGGCCTTTTGTTGTTTAGTCCTTTTGGACCTTTTCATTGTTAGGGCCTTGCCCGCCCCTTGAATAACAATCAGTTTAGGCTATACTTAGCCCTTTTATTTGTAAGGCCTTTGAGCCCGAGTAGACTTACGCCGCAAATTATGTCGTGGAATCGTGTTCACCGAGAATGGTGAACACAAGTCAAAACGATGTCGTTTTTAGGCAAAAAAAATAAAAATCATGGATGTGGAGTTAACGGCGCGTTACTGATCAAATTATGAATTTTCTGTTATGAGATTATGAATTTTATGAAAATTCATAATCTCATAACAGAAAATTCATAATCTCACAACTGAAATTCATAATCTCATAACAGAAAATTCATAATCTTATAACAGAAAATTCATAATCTTATAACAGAAAATTCATAATCTCATGGTTCCAAAGTGAATGTGTAGGCATGGTTCCAAAGTGAATGTGCATGCATGGATTCATAATTTATGAATGTCCGAAACTCCGAAATTATGAATGTAATGAAAATTCATAATCTCATAACAGAAAATTCATAATCGCATAACAGAAAATTCATAATCTCATAACAGAAAATTCATAATCTCATGGTTCCAAAGTGAATGTGTAAGCATGGTTCCAAAGTGAATGTGTAGGCAGTCACGTAATTAATTAATTAAAAAAAAAAAAAAAAAAAAAAAAAAAAAAAAAAAAAAGAAAGAAAGAAAGATAACGGTACACTAACACCGTTGGAACCGTGTTCACCATGAATGGTGAACACGATTCCATGGCATAACCTCTGGACTTACGCTATTTTAGCCCTTGTTGTTGGTTAGGGCAAATTATTCTATGGATCATAGTCCACATAATTGTGTGGAAGCTCCTGCTCCCGTATTTGTGTATACGCCATAATACAAATCATTTCGCCCGATATTACTGGCATTCCATGGAATCCATCCTTCTGGATCTATTAAACTATCCAGTGTGGATTCCATGGTGACAGCGTATTGCCTCCACTGCCCTAAGTAGGTTTTAACCGATACTAGGGAGCCCTGACTGTACAGTTCTGTATGCAAATTCCTTGCATATGCACAGTAGGATGGCTCCGGCCTTGGGCCGTGATGACGTTGATCACTTTTGGGTATCTTGCATATATCTGGCTGTTCCGGATGACGACCACACCGTAGCCAAATATAAAATCCATAGTGCTGATATGTGGCATTCGCGGAAGAATAGATCGCCACCGCCCAAAAAGGTGTGTGCTGGTAGCCCTCAAACCCACATTGGTAGAAGACTGACCTTTTGGAATCTGGAGGGAGATAAAGTTGCTATGAGACTAGGAGATAAAGTTGCTATTTTTTGTTCTCTGATCTGATAATGTTCTTAGCTATGCAATTTATAGAATGTGTAATTGAGTAGTCAGATCATGGGAGGGGTGTGTGTCCAGGCCAACTTCCAAGGGCTTTGAATTTGTGTGATTGAGTAGTCCGATCATGGGAATGGTGTGTGTCCAGGCCAACTTCCAAGGACTTTGAATTTGTGTGATTGAGTAGTCCGATCATGTCTGCAGTGTGGGAGAGGTGTGTGGAGTACTTGTGTTTCTCTATCCGCGGGTCTTTTTCTCTGTAAGGTCGGTTAACGGTTCAGGTCCACCCGACTAATCACTATTCGTTTGGGGAGTCTCCAATCAAATTCGGGTTATTCCTACAAAAGAAAGCTCATTTACCAATCGTTATACTCTGCACCACGGCGCACATAGCATTGTGCGGCTCGCGCCTCCCAAAACGACGTCGTTTTGGGAGGCGCGGTAGGGAGTTTGACGTGATTATGTGTATTTGTTTATACAATTATGTATATTTGTTTATACAATTATGTACATGTTTTTTTAATACAATTATATACATTCAAATTAGGAAATTTTTACCAGGACTATGTGGTCTAATGGTATCCGGGTTGGACTTCCATTTGGAAGGTTGTAAGTTCGAGCCTCAGTGGAGGCGTTATTAGCTCTCTGTGTTTCAGTAGGTTGAGAAAGTATATGAACAGATACTACAATGTAATAGAGCTAGTAGCATTCAAAAAAAAAAGGAAATTTTTAAAAAAATATGTATATTTTGTTATATAATTATGTACATTCATGTATACAATTATGTGTATTCTAGTATAAAATTATGTACATTTTTTAACATGAGATTTTTTTAAAGAAAATTAACCGTAAAAACAGGGCAGTGAAAATTTCAAAAAAAAAAAAAACTGAAACGACGTCATTTTGCATCAGGGCGCACAATGCAATGAGCGCCCTTGTGCACAATATAAATTGCTGCTCATTTACCATTTTTGCTATCCCATTGGGTTTGCTATTTTATCACTATTACACTATTTTTATTTTCAAGAGTATATACTAATTCATATTTAGCATGATCAACCTACATGAGTTGTGAGAATAATCCGAATTTGACTCTTGCACTCATTGATAACCTTTAATTTGCATGTAATAGCCTGGAATATATATTTCAGTCACTAAGGATGTATAAGAGAGCACTAGGTAAATTTTATTTTTCTAGCACCTTGTGTTCAGATGACATGTAGTGACTTTTCTATATGGGAAGTTATGAGATCGAGTCCCAATGGAGCAACTACATAAGGGTGTGCGAAGATACATGAGTAAATCCTAATTTTGTGTAATTGTAAACATTTATGTCCATAATTTTGTAATAACAAATCAACCTATATTTAATGAACAACTAAAATGATGGAGGTAATTAAGAAGTTGATCTAATAAGTACGTGATTGTACAACCAATCAAATTGTAAAGTGTAAACTTTCATTGTTAAATAGTTACAAGCATACCAAGTGGTTTGTGGTCTATTGGTATTCAGTTGACCCCTTATGTGGGATGTCTTAGGTTTGAATTATAGCTAGTATATGTGGGTATCCCTCTTCCTTTGTAAAAAAAAGAAAAAAATAGTTACAAGCATGCAAAGCGGGATAGGACACTGTACATCAGAGCTTCTATTTATTGATGTGATAAATAAAAATTAGTTATTTTTATCATATGAATTCACAGAAAAGTGTTTACCTCAAGAACATATGAAAGGGAATAAAATTTGTGAATATAAAATAAGAGTCCACCAAGTATTTTTCAATTCATTTAGCACATATACATCAATCACTATTTTTTTAATGCTATAGTCAACTTGTTAGATACCAATCATCTCATCAATGGTGGAGCCCGAATTCAAATTCATTGATGTTGATATACTAAATGTCTAAATTTAATATTACTCTCAATGATATATAAATATAAATATAAGTTGCACTTGTAAATAAATATATTCATTTTACAATTGCTCCCAATGCATTTTTATACTTCGAAAATGTTGTATAATTTTTTCTTTATCAACACTTTCGAACACATCCATTTCAATAAAAGAAACCAAACAATCATTCATCAAATTATATATCTTATTCGGTTGCACAATATATTATTCACTATCTTCATTGTTGAAAAAACTCTTTCAACACTTGCAATCGCCACTAATAATATTAAAGCTAATTTCACAAGTAAAAAAACTAATGAAAATTGAGTCGAATTTAAATTAGGATGGAGGGTTTATGAAATTTAAATTAGAACTAGTATTTGTACCCGTGCGATGCACGGTATAAAAATAAAAATACAATAATTGTATTTCAAAAATATATTAAAGATAGGAATTAAAAATTACTAAATAAAAAATTCCATTGAAAAATATTGCATAAAGACATTGGCTCTAAAAAAATGAAACAAAATTTTATCAAATTCATCTATAAATTATTAAATACTTCCTTATATACATGGTTAGAATAGATCACTACAAAATATAATACACTCCTAAATATATAAATATATATATCTACTATATATATATATATACTAATAAGAGCCCAAGAGAGTTAGGCCTATAACGAGTAGAAAAAATGGCGGTTAAATTTTTTAATCAAATAAATGGCTCAAATTGATCATATTTTAATTTTTCCATAAGATTTCATGATTTATCCTTAATGAATATGATTTTCCGTTAACTTTTCCGTTAAATATTATCTTTTCCGTTAATTTCTGTTAGTTCACCGTTAACTTACTCATTGATTTCAATAAGAAAGGTCTTAAGTTCGAACCTCATCTCAATCAAAGTTGACATAATTAGTACTCTATTTTACTCTTATTAAATTAAACAATAATTTAGTAGCTACAACAAAAAATAATACATATGCATTTCTTTAATTTAGAATTATGTGTCTACAATGTCTTTATTAAAAAAAAATTATTCATTATCAATAAATTAAATAAGAGAAATAATTTCATTAGTTATATTGTCTTTATTTTTCTCCAATATAAAAATTCTTTAAATTCAAATTCATTAATTGATTATATTCGTTACATTGTCCCTACAATGTCTTTATTAAAAAAAAAGTATTATTCATTATCAATAAATTAATTAAGAGAAATAATTTTATTAGTTATATTGTCTTTATTTCTCTCCAATGTAAAAATTCTTTACATTCAAATTCATCAATTGATTATATTCACTACATTGTCTATTATCTTTTTTGTGAACTATTTTTTAATTAAATATCAAAGTTATAATACAAAATAATGCTATATATTTATTTACCAAGTATTTTATTAATATCATGAAAAAATTAAAAATATATATAATTAATAAAGTCAATCATATTAACTACTTGAGGAATTTGTTGACAAAGAGAGTATTCAAATCACACAACAAATTTGAAGTGGAAAACTATATTGCAAAGTCGCAATATCCTTGTTTGGTAATCAACAGTTAGCTCTTCAAAATTAGTATATATTTAATATTTTATGCCCTAATTTTTATTTGCTCTCCCTTATGTCCCATATTTGGTTTCAACCATACTTATACAATTATTTTATTGACAATTATAATCAATCTTGACTATATTATCTTGCATTTGTAAGCTTAGAATTGCCTATTTAAATACGCAAATTTAACATTCAATTATCTATGCATAAACAATTCCAATATAATCTTGTCTTGATATACTTTAAAGTACTTATTTAAAAAAAACATTGGACATTATCCCAATCGCGCAATGCGCGTAAAAAACTAGTGTATATATATATATATATATATATATATATATATATATATATATATATATATATATAACATATATTTTTTAAATTAATAAGTAATTAAGTATATTAAATATATACCGATATCTCGCAATTGTGCACTTATATTAACATGTTGAATTGGATTTATGGAATCAATGTCTCTTTGAAGTTGTTGGCTGTAAGTTATGCCCAATATCAATAGAATAAAAAAGTACTCTATTCTGTTGCAAAAAAAAAAAAAAAAAAAAAAAAAAACACTATTCTCTCCCTGACGGCCTGACCTATAATGCCAATTCAAATAGAGGGAAATAAGAAAAAGACACATCCACACAAATATCAGTCGTTATGCCATGGAACGATGGTGAACACGGTCCCAAACGGTAACAGTGCCGTTATCTGTTTTTTTTTTTTTTCTTTAATTAACAGCGTGATTTTTTTTTTCTTCATTTTCACATTTCGCGGTTTCACTTCCTTTTCGCGCAAGCTTCTTCAACACTCATAAATTATGAATATGTAGGCATTGATTTATGAATGTGCAGTTATGAAATTATGAATATTTTTTTATGAGATTATGAATTTTTTGTTATAAATTATAAATTTTCTATTATGAGATTATGAATTTTCTGTTATGAGATTATGAATTTACAGAAAATTCATAATTACATAACTGTAAATTCATAATCTCATAACAGAAAATTCATAATCTCTGTTATGAGATTATGAATTTTCTGTTATGAG